GCGTCAGTGGGGGCGGGGTGGGACGGCGTGGGCGGGGTGGGGGTTGGGGTTTCGGGGGGAGGGCGGGGAGGGAGCGCGGCAAGGCGAAAGTGGAGGGGGGCGAAATGACGGGACTGCCCTTGCTTCAGATTGGATTGGGCTTTGGTCTCCCTCTCGCTGCTGTAAAATTTTGTTTACTGCTGGTTGATCTGATCTGATCTGATGGACGGATGGGATGTGAGCTGACCGGACAGGCTAATCTATCTGGCAGGCATCAATCTTGGGGAACCGGATCCTCTAACATACACAAGGGATGTTAGGGAAGCTACATTGTCCTAACTTTCCTTTTGTTAATCCATACAATTAAGGCTAAAATAACTTACATTAATTTTTAAGGCTAATGCGATTGTGTAAATGAGTGTTTGGCGAACGAGATCTTGTCCCTGATATATCTGCCGACATAATAAACTAGAAGTATATCATCTTATTTATTTTTTTGGTACGTGTTTTGTGGCTTGCCAAAGAAAACGTGATTTTTTTTTGGTGAGTCGATAAAGGTGGGCCGTTTAAGGCGGGTTTTCGAGGAGAATCGGTGGGGGAGGATGTAACATGTGCTTCGCCCGTCCCGAATTAGTTGTCTCGGATTTGTTTAGATATGGATGTATGTGCACATGTTTTAGTGTTAGGTGCATTCGTATCTGGGGGAGGCGGTGGGGAGAGCCATGGGCTCGACTCACCCCCTACTAGGGCGGTCCTTGGGGAGGGGGGATCTAAGGGAGGCGGTGTGCAAACATACCGTCCCCAGTTTGCCCCTACCAGTGTCGTCCCTGGGGAGGAGGGGTCCAGGGGAGGTGGCATATAAACGTACAATCCCCGGCTCGCCCCTACCGGTGCCGTCCCTGGGGAGGGGACGGGGTCCAGGAGAGGCGGTGGGCGGGGAGGAAGTAAGCGACGTGCACGCGTCTAATCCCCAACTCTCATTTAATGTTAGGATCTAATAGTAAAGATAAGCAAATAAAAATGAATAGGCAAAATGAAATTAATATAATGTATAAAAGTAGGACCATCATCGCAGGAAATAAAACTAATGTGAATTTATGGTGGAAAGATACAAAATAAAATGGCAGAAATAGGACCAGGGTCGAAACAAAACATGCGGTAAATTTAAGATGGTAAAAAAACGTACATTTCGCTGTCGAGAAGGAGAGGATCAGGCGATGGACATGTGGTTGTCACTAGGATCGTTTCCTTCCAAGCTAACCATGGGATTTACGCGTGGGCACACTGCCTTCCTCGATCAGATCTGGCTCGACGACGGCAATGTTTCCTTTTGACCTGACCATGAGAATTCTAGGCAACTCCTCTAGTGGCGGAGCCAGGAAATATGGATCAGAAGGGCCAAGTGCCGTCAAAGTAGGTTAAGGAGGGCCAAAGCATAGGAAAATACACTTTTAGCATTAAAGTATTGCTAATTATGCACTGTTCATCAGTGAATTAGCAGCAAATTTCCAATGTCAGGGGGGCCAGGGCCCCTGCTGCCCCCCCTGTCTCCGCCACTGAACTCCTCAATCTGGCTCGACGATGGATGGCTTGAGTTTAGTAATATTTCCTTCCAACCTAACCATGAGATTTGGGAGAGTAAATTTAACATGCTAGAAAATAGGGGGAAAAAGAGGTAAAGTTATGCTTGGGAAAAAAGAGGTAAAGTTATGCTTGGGAAAAAAAGTAAGCTACATATACATCACCGTTGAGAATGACATGAAAAAATGGCGGACATTCTCATGGTTGTCATTAGGACCATAGGAGTGTTCTCCTTCCAGCCCGACCATGAGATTTCTACGATAATGACCAACCTTCCTCAATTGGGCCTGGCTCGGTGACAGAGAGCATGTCCTTTGATGGAGCATAAACGATCAACCCTCCTTGATTGGATCTGACACGGTGACCGATGAGCTTGCTCTTTGGCTGACCGAGAATTTCTGTGCAAACAATGAACCTTCCTCAACTGGGTCTGGCTCAGTGACAGAGAGCATGTCCTTTGATGGAGCATAAATGATCAACCCTCCTTGATTGGATTTGACTCGGTGACCAATGAGCTTGCTCTTTGGCTGAGTGAGAATTTCTGTGCAAACGATGAACCTTCCTCAATTGGATCTGGCTCGTTGACGGATGAGCTTGCTCTTTGGCGGAGCAAGATTTCCCACGCAAACAATCAACCCTCCTCGATCGGATCTACCTCGGTGACGGATGAGCTGCTCTTTAGCAAAGCGAGATTTTCTGCGCAAACAATGAACCTTCCTCGCTTGCATCTAGCTCGGTGACGGATGAGCTTATACTTTGGGAGCAAGATTTTTTGCGCAAACGATCACCCCTCCTCGATTGGATCTGGCTCGATGACTGAGGAGCTTGTCCTTTGACGGAGCATAAATGATCAAACTTTCTCGATTGGATCTGGCTCGGAGACACCTGTAGAGCACCTTTATAATCACCCAGTTACGTTGTGACGTTTGGTAGCACACAAAGTGTTCCTCCGGTAAACGGGAGTTGCATACTCTCATAGTCATAGGAACATATATAAGTTATGAAGAAAGCAATAGCAACAAACTAAACGATTAAGTGCTAAGCTAACGGAATGGGTCAAGTCAATCACATCATTCTCCTAATGATGTGATTCCGTTAATCAAATGACAACTCATGTCTATGGTTAGGAAACATAACCATCTTTGATTAACGAGCTAGTCAAGTAGAGACATACTAGTGACTCTCTGTTTTTGTCTATGTATTCACACATGTATTATGTTTCCGGTTAATACAATTCTAGCATGAATAATAAACATTTATCATGATATAAGGAAATAAATAATAACTTTATTATTGCCTCTAGGGCATATTTCCTTCAGTCTCCCACTTGCACTAGAGTCAATAATCTAGATTACACAGTAATGATTCTAACACCCATGGAGTCTTGGTGCTGATCATGTTTTGCTCGTGGAAGAGGCTTAGTCAGCGGGTCTGCAACATTCAAATCCGTATGTATCTTGCAAATTTCTATGTCTCCCACTTGGACTAAATCCCGAATGGAATTGAAGCGTCTCTTGATGTGTTTGGTTCTCTTGTGAAATCTGGATTCCTTCGCCAAGGCAATTGCACCAGTATTGTCACAAAAGATTTTCATTGGACCCGATGCACTAGGTATGACACCTAGATCGGATATGAACTCTGAAATTCTTTAAATTTTCTTGTTATGATGATTTTCAACTTCACTCTGAAATTCTTTAAATTTTTCAAATGTTTCAGACTTATGTTTCATTAAGTAGATATACCCATATCTGTTTAAATCATCTGTGAAGGTGAGAAAATAACGATATCCGCCACGAGCCTCAACATTCATTAGACCACATACATCTGTATGTATGATTTCTAACAAATCCGTTGCTCTCTCCATAGTACCGGAGAACGGCGTATTAGTCATCTTACCCATGAGGCACGGTTCGCAAGTACCAAGTGATTCATAATCAAGTAGTTCCAAAAGTCCATCAGTATGGAGTTTCTTCATGCGCTTTACACCAATATGACCTAAACGGCAGTGCCACAAATAAGTTGCACTATCGTTATCAACTCTGCATCTTTTGATTTCAACATTATGAATATGTGTATCACTACTATCGAGATTCATCAAAAATAGACCACTCTTCAAGGGTGCATGACCATAAAAGATATTACTCATATAAATAGAACAACCATTATTCTTTGATTTAAATGAATAACCGTCTCGCATCAAACAAGACCCATATATAATGTTCATGCTCAACGCTGGCACCAAATAACAATTATTTAGGTCTAATACTAATCCCAAAGGTAGATGTAGAGGTAGCGCGCCGACCGCGATCACATCGACTTTGGAACCATTTCCCACGCGCATCGTCACCTCGTCCTTAGCCAATCTTCGCTTAATCCGTAGCTATGATCATGTCATGAATATTATCATAACTATGCGCCTTTTCTATCAGTTGTCCAACAATATTTTGTGTACCCGCCATATGCTATGTTTGAAGAGAGAAGGTCGTAGTGGAAACTATGGCCCCCGGGTCTACTTTTATCATATTACTAAAACCAAAAATACCTTGCTGCAATTGTACTCTTTTTATTTTACTTTGCAATTGTCAACCATCTTGCCCGCGTTGGGTGCAAGTATTTGCACTTGTGTGTGTAGGTGCTGTTCACTAGGCTTTGTATGATTCTACTATTGGTTCGATAACATTGGTTCTCACTGATAGAAATACTTACCAGCTACTATATTGCTTCACCCTTCCTCTTCGAAAAAAAATTCCCAACGCAACTTACAAGTAGAAAGTTCCCCCATCAAAATTGGGTGTTTTGAGTTGAAAGCTTTTACTTATATAAACAAATAATTGATGTGTGTGAGATGGAGATTGTG